TGCCTGCTCCACTTTTACTATTTTAAGTTTAATTGAAATTTTACATGCTTTAGTTATATTGATTTCTGAGATTTTCATTTGCTCCTATTTTAAAGAGACTCGGAACGCTTCATTTATTTTTTTTTCTATTTTTTATTTTTTTTTTCTATTTGATTTATTTAGTATTTATTTATTTATTTATTTAGTCTAATATTTTGACTTTTTAGGGGAATATTTTTTAAATTGATTAAAGGTAAGTAATTCGAATCGGGTTTTTAAATTTTAATTTTCGCGATTAAGATAACTGGAAAATTAATTGGTACCGAAAGGGCGATTCAAGGGTGCTAATCCTTCCTTGACCGTAACCGACTCCCGGACCCGATACATTTCTGGTAAAACACAGATCAGGTAAGATGGTGTCCGACCTACCTAAATTCGTTTTAAAGTGGTCGGTGGCGACTCCAACCCATTTTTCAAGTCGAAGCCCAATTTCGGGGCCCAACCGAAAGACGGTTCCGACAAATACTATGCATAGAACCCTTTCCATCGGTGCTTCAATAGTGTCGACATCAATAATGTCGACTGTGAACGTCACCCCATTTGGTGCATCGCAATGTTCGAATGAATGGTTTACCCTTCAAAGAAACAAGTGACTCATTAAGATTCGCTATCCATTTGAGGGAGCGGTTCGATCGGTCTGGTACATTACGAGAGGGTATCTTTGGACACCAAATAGAACCATGATGTTCTGCTTCGGGAGTTTTGGATAGTAATGGATATTGGACTCGCGTTCAAGAGATAAAAAATGAGCAATTAAAACTTTTAGGGTCCAACAATCATTGACGACGATGACTTGCAATAAAAATGGTGAGTGAAGGTCAATAACAAAAGACTTTGATCAAATTCAATGATCAGGTTGATATTTTATTTAAAACTTAAGGTCAAAGTGATATTTCATCTAAAGTTTAGATGTCAAATTAAAAATGTATCTCTTTTACTAGTGTGTTATATCATCAAACTAACTAGAGTTAACGATTTAGTAATCAAAATATAACAATCAACAATATAAATGAGCAAGATTTAATAAATCATTAACGTAAGTGATTAAGATATAATTTTTTATCGATAATTAAAAGTGAATAAAACCGAAATGAAATTGATTATTCTGGTAGTTTATCCTTAAATTAAATATACAGGAATTCAAACTTAACCATTTGAGCACGAACCAAGTGTTAAAGAATTTATTGTTATTTTTTAAGGTCGTAGGTTCGAGCATCATGTATGCATGAATATGAATATTTATTATCAAAGAGTTAAGAGTCTTTGAACATATATATTAATGTATTTACACCATATTAAAAAAATAACCATTTAAATGAGGGTCAAGACATTAACTGCTACACCAACTTAACAATTGATACAAGATTCACAAATATAATATTTAATTTAAATTACGATTAAGACTAATTATATTTACATTTATAAAAATATTTTAATTATAAAATATTTTAACAACATTATAAAAAAAATGCTTAGGGTTTAATAGAAAACCAGTCGGCTATTTTTCTCTTGTTGGTAACCTACCTCCCTCAGCATCTTCAAAATTTTCTTATTAATTAATATTCGTCTCTCATAATTCATATATTTATTTGGGTAAAGTACATAAAGGGCCCCTAGAATATAGGACGTTATTTTGGTGAGTCCCTCAATTATTAAAAGTTACAAAATGGTCTCCGACTATAAGGCGTTGCTTTGTTGAGTCCTCTGATTATTAAAAGTTACAAATATGGTCATTCGACTATTTATATGTTCCAAACTCATTCCTTTCTGTTAAAAATTGGTGACCGTCTGTGCTAAACTTTAACCTGCGTAATAGGATATGATAAAATAATATTTTTAATGATGTCTATTGACATCGCTGTTGCTTTCGAGCATTGGCTCGACGACATAATGTAAACGAATAGTCAACCTACAAAATACAGCTCAAACAATTTTGATATCAGATTTTATTATATCTCAGTCAACAAGTTAACTTCCAACTAAAACATCCACAAAATTTTTTAACGTAAAAGAATGTATCTGGAACATATGACTAGTCAGGTGACAGTTTTGTAACTTTTAATAGTCAGATGACTCAATAAATAACACCCTATAGTCATGGACCATTTTATAACTTTTAATAGTCAAAAGACTCAACAAAATAATGTCCTATAGTTAGAGGACCATTTGTTTACTTTACCCTATTTGTTTTCCATACAACTTGGAATTTCAACATTATTAGACTAAAATAAAACCAGTTGGCTACTTTCCTTTTGTTAATAACCTCCCTCGGTACGTTCAATATTTTCATATTAATAAAGAATTTTTCAACTTTTATATTTGGTAGGACAAATATTCGCATAACATAAATTATTTATTCATATATTTATATAAAAGTTAACATATTAATATGGTGTCAAACTTAAATAGTTTCAAAAGTATCGTAATTAGGATGAGTTTAGAATACGCGTTACACGCCAAAACACATCACTTATATGACACGTCGATGCACATTATTAATTAAATTGTCTTTATAACTAAATTGTCTTTATAAATAAATATTAATATGGTTTTAAAAGTATTGTAATTAAATTATTGTTTCTTCTAAAATTTTCTAATTTAATTATTATTAAGGTTAAGACAATTTTTTGACTTTTGGTTTTTTTAGTTTTATTATTTTTCTTAAAAAATAAGTTTTAAAATTAATTAAATTAAATCATGTTTCTCTTAAATTTTATGATTTAATTTCGTTTCTCATATTATTGAATAAGGTATAGATTATATATTTAGTCACACACTTATTCTTGTAGTTTTGTTTTTTTTATCATCTAACTATTTCTTTCTCAAAATCATACATAATGTTATGTTTTGGTTCCGTTTTGGTCACCAATCATTAAAAAATAAACAGATTTGCAAACTTGATAAATTTGATGACTTGAAATTATGTTATGGTAACTTGTCAGTATCACCATTAACTTTTAACAGCGAGTAACCAAAACGAAACCAAAATATAATGTTGGTATGATTTTGAGAAAACAAAGCTTGAGTGAACAAAACGGAACTGTGGGAATAGGTGGGTGACTAAATACATAGTTTACCCTTAATATTAATATCATCTCTAAACAGTATAAGATTACCTAACACAAAAAGCACACGTTGCCCACGCGTCTCGGACTCTTCTTAATCCAATAGACATGACGAAGATTCTCTCATTTCATTTCTCGTGTCCGGTGATGAATGCTACAAGGTAAGTAGCAAAAACCCTTCCTTCCACATCTTTTTCTGCATACTTTGGCTCCAATCTCTGCAGATGTAAGTGTCGCTGTGGATAAACATGAGTGATGTGGATGAAGCAAGAAAGAGAAGAAGGAATGGTTCAAAAACGAAAGGTTATTGTCATTGGCCTTGCCTGAGATTAACAGTGAGAGGAGTTGGGAGATGTTTGTTTGTGAGTTGTTATCCTTTTCTGCAATGTTTTGGGTTGGATGATTGTAGGCATCACCACCATCATCACACCCACTTCCATTGATATTCTGTCTCATCTCTCTTTTCAGCTCCATGAAATGAAATTACTTTTTGTGCAGTGTTTAAGGATTAAAAATTAGCCTGCTTTTTCCAGGCTTTTCTTTGCAACTTTACTTGATAGAGAGAAACAGGGGAAAGAGCAAAGGAATCCAATAAAGCCAGATTTGAAGGCTTCTTAAATTAATGCTTAATTAGTTTTCAGAATATGTATTGGATGATAGGAAAAAGGGTTTGAAATAGTATAGATTAATTTATTAGGATAGCACGACTCCAGTGGTTAAAGGAAACGTTGTTATTCCTAGATATTATTGGTTCAAGACTACAAGGGTGATTAGATGTTCATCGTCAAATAATTAAGAACATTTAAAATAAATATTACTCTATAATCACTTTAGCTATCAGGGGAAAACAAAGAGATTAACTGCATACTATAGCCCTAACATGCCTTCTCCTTTAGTATGTGCCAGAATCAGGTATATCAACTCGTTTGAAGGATTCATCAAAATGATTCAATCGATCTGTAACTCTTCTCATCAAATGTGTCTCTTCGCTCACTCAATCTTCTTAGGGTTTCATCCACCTATCCCAGCAGGGTTTTTTTGTCACTTGTGTATTGATAAGGTAATATTTTCCTTTTTTATTTCCTGAATTTTATATTCTTTTGGAGAATTGGAATGAATATAGAAACTCTACCCTCTGTTCATGATTGTTAAATTTAATTTTTATATTTTAATATGATATTATTTATTTTTTATATTAATATTATTATTAGATTTAAATTGATAATAAAATTAATTATATTCATAAATTTGATGACATAAATATTTAATTACTACTATTTGGTCCTCCAATTAAGAGCACGTTAAAATTTACACATCATTATATAAAAAAATACGTATTTAATTAATTACGTTAAAAATAAATTAACTTTTTAATGTTTACGAGTATCTGATTTATTAGTTAATTAATATAAAATAAATACTACAAAAATTTATCATAAGGATAAACATCCCAACTTAATTTGTTTCATTCACATTATCACGACTCAAATGCTTACAAAAAAATCCATGTCATGTCACCTTAACTGTTGCAACTGGAGATGATAATTTGACTTGATATCGAAGGGTTTTAGCCACTTGATCTTATAGGGTTGGTTTTTTTCTTTTTTATCTTTTGAAATTCGGTTTCAAATTGGATTTGATTAATTTTTATGAAGGATGAGGTCGAGATCAAGTTTAAATTCAGTCGATTTTGAGAAGGGTAAAACTTTCCTAAGCCTAGGTCAAGTCAGGTGTCAGATGAGGGATGTAATTATCAAATCAAGTTAGCTCGGCCAAAATTTAACCCAACCCTATCCGTTGCAATCCCTAATTGCAACTAATAATATCAATTTAAAATTATTACTAATGCTATAAAAGTAAAAAAAAAAATCAGTTCATGTCAAACTAAAGTAAATCTTTTTCTATTTTGAAAGTAACAATGATGTAAGATGGCTAATCATCTCGCTTGGTAGACCTTGAAGAAAGGCCATTTTGTGATGAGCCATTGGCCATTTGACGCCAGTCGTCGTCCCAATCTTGTTCCCAACCTCGAGCCGTTTCCACATTGTTAGGGGAAGTAGGTTGCGCCATTTCGAGCTGCTGGTACGGGGTTCCGTCGCCCCTTTTGCCGTGCTTGTAGCAGGCGTAACAACTGCCGATGATCAGACCGGTTAGAATCAGCAAGGAGGCTCCATTGATGGGGCTTATATGTGTGGGCAAAGGGATGTAATCCAAGATGCCGCCACTCGATGCTGCAGACACCAAGTAAATCACACATCCCATGTTCTTAGCTTCTATTTGTATGGACGAATTCCCACCAACATCTGTTGAAATCTTAATCTGTAACACCAAAAAATCAACGAAAATACAGCACCATGTGTTGACTGAATCAACAAAAACAACAGAGAGAATGGAAATTAAACCTCTTTAACACGGTGAGGTGGTATTTGCGTGTTGTCTACATGTTTGGCCATGGCCTTGCCATTTAACATACTAACATTCACTGTTAGGGATCTCTCACCTTCATTCTTCACAAGTAATATTACTTCCTCTGAACCTTCAAACAAAAACATAACACCAGGCATCAATAAATCCATCTTTTTCATGATTGAAACTACAGAGAAGCTTACACTATCATGCAATATTTGAAGTTTGAGAACTTACTGGTTGATGAAGGATCGACGCACGCCGTTAAGCTTATGTTATGACAACTATTTGGCTGAAGCCAACACCCGTTGTTGCTAGGCTCAGGCGCAGGTGACGGAGAAAACTAAACACCAGCAAAAAAAAAATCCTTTCGTTTTGTTATCGAAATTATTAAAGAAAATAAGAAGGAAGGGAATTGAATGAAAATACCAGTGGAGAGGGGGACGGAGAGGGCAGAGTTCGAGCTTGTGAATGATGAAAGAGTAAAAGGAAAGAAAAGATTGAAACAAACTGGTTTGAATCCATTTTGTTGATGTTGTTTATCTGTGTCTTGAATCAAACCTCTCCTCTCAGCTTTGATATCAATGATTGTTTCTGCAATTACAAGGATTTTCAGTTTTCTTGGTCAATCCATCCAAAACCCTTTCTTTCTCTTCGATTTCTCCGTTGACTTGGATTTTTTCCGCGTGGAATGTAACTTGTTTTCTTCCACAAATTCACCCATATCAGACCAACCACGTACTGTTAAAACCTCTGTTCCGATTCTGAACTAAATTGTGTTTTAGGTCTAATTCTTCTATCAGTCCTTGTACTATTGGATATTTCATATTTGGTCATTTGACTTTTATTTCTGGGAAATTTTCCCCTCTACTCTTTTGATTTAGTAACTGAGCTCTAATTGATAACGCCATCAAAGGGCCTTAATGATTGCCCTTGGAAGTCATATATTAAAAGAAAGTTTAATGGCTTTTGAGACTCGTAATTTAAAAAAAAAATCAACGTGACAATTATTTTTTAACACTTAATGTGTGTCTAAATCAAAAATAATCAACGTCACTCTTCGATCAACAGAGAATATCATTAGTTGTTATGGTACCTACATGTTTGTAGAGAATATCATTAGTTGTTATGGTACCTACATGTTTGTTTACAACGATGACATGATAGTTTATGGTGCTGATGTAAGGGTCTACGTGTGCGATGACGAATCCAAAAACAAATTATAGGTTGGGCTAGTATAAACATAATAAAAAGTTTTTCTAAAACAATTCATATATATTTTTAATTTAAAAATATAATAACATATATATATATATATATATGTAACATCCCAAACTATGAGTTAGTGACTAAATTGTAAAGTTTTAGAATTTGGTGACTAAAGTAGAAGAATGGATTAGTTCAGTGATTTATTTGGAAGTATTTCCTAAAAGTTGTTAGTAATTATTAAAGGAACTAAAGGGTAAAATGGTCATTTGATCATTTAAGGAATTAAAAAAATGTGATAGTGGGGATATATATATATTTTACACGTGGGAAATGAGGGAAACAATGTTTCCAGAATTCTCTTCTCCTCCTTTCTTCTTTGTGCGTGAAGCTCCAGCTCAAAGGTGAGTTTCTTAATTAGTTGGTTATTTGTCGAATTAAAAGTTGGGTTATGATTCTTAGGTGATACTTAAGCTTAAGGAAAGCTTAAGTTATCTTAAAATCAAAAGATAAATGAGTTAGGGAAGATTAAAGATTTGGAGTTCTTGAGTGAATTTCCATAATGGAGTTGATAAGTTGAACTTAAAGCTAAATTTGACTTGTCATCAGCTTAATTAAGAAGTATTAAGTGTTAGAATTGGATTTGAAACATGTGGAAAATAGGGTATGATTCTTGAAATTCCTAAAGAGGAGAGGATATTAAGGTTAAAGATGAGATAAATGAATATTAATGAGTTTAAGTATGTATATGAAAGTTAGGAATATGAAAGGGGTTGAAATATGAAGGATTTAATCCAAAAAGAATGAATTTTCGGGTTCAAAAAGAGGTTCTGGGCAGAGTGCATCGATGCACATTCATAGTGCATCGATGCATCAAGGTTAAAACCCAGAAATCGTTTGAAGGTGTATCGATGCACAGGAAGTGCATCGATGCACTCTTTTAAAATAAATACATCGAATGCAATTCGTGCATCGATGCATCCCAGTAATAATACAATATCGAATGCATTTTATGCACCGATGCATCAGTAGTGCATCGATGCATACCTTCATTAAAAGATGAAATTTCCTTTTCTCTTAGTCTAAAGAGTGAACCATTAGAGTATATTAGTTATAATACTAATATAGATCTATGTATGATGATGTAGATATAGAACGTGATCCCGTTCCGGATCAATTGAAGGATTATAATCGAATCAAAGCAAAGCTAAGGTGAGTGCACATTCTCTAGTATATGAGGTTCAAGGGAAAATAAGACTTGTGATAAGTCTATTTCTAATAGTGAAAAACATGAATTCATAGAAGTATGTATTTGTTATGATTTATATGTGTGCATGAGTATATGTGTTATTGATATGAATATGGTAAGTAAAAGGGATTAATGGTGATGATAAGAATAATAATAAGGATAATGAAATGATAGGTATATGTGAATATAGGTATTGATGTGTTTTGTATGTATTGTAAGATGATATGTTTATGTGATAACATGATAAGATGACAATGATTTACATGTCATATGAACACATGAGAAATGTTATGAGCCATATGAAAGAGAAAGTATATGTGATACATGAGGGTGAATCCTATGTTTATATGAATATGAACTCATATGAGAATCGACATGAACTACGTGATTACATGTATATGTGAATGAAACCATGAGCTTATATGAATATATGATATGGTTACATGAATATGTAAAAGGATATAAAAGATAATGCCTATGTTATGTGTCATGAGAGCTAGGGGTATAGTTGGCATGCCAAGAGTCGAGGGTCTACGTGGTCCTTCGGGACATATATGTATTCTTTGGAACATGTGTGAAGTCTGGTGAGACACATACTTGATCCCTAGTATATGTATATGATTCTTAAGGAATGATATGTGGTCCTTCGAGACATATATGTATTCTTTGGAACATGTGTGAAGTCTGGTGAGACACATACTTGATCCCTAGTATATATATATGATTCTTAAGGAATGATATGTGGTCCTTCGGGACATATGTATTCTTTGGAACATGTGTGAAGTCTGGTGAGACACATACTTGATCCCTAGTATATGTATATGATTCTTAAGGAATGATATGTGGTCCTTATGGACAGTATTATATGGCACTACGGTGCAATTCTATGGGGCACTCCGGTGCAATTATATGTGGCACTTCGGTGCAATTATATGAGCTGTGGTGACAGCATTAGTGCACAACCTCTATGTACTTGAATATCTTTAGTTCTCACATGTGTATCATGGCCTATTAAATAGATAATATTAATAAAGTGATATGATAATATGTTTGTTTCCTTGTGGAATTTCATGTGGGATATTGATTGTACAAATGGTAACTTATAAGACCATATGATGAAAGGAATCAATGATAGTGATAAAATAAGAAAGAAATGAAGATGATAATATAGTTGCTTGGGTGTACATGTTTTATGATAGTATATATATATGGTTTACATGACATGATATGTATATGTGCAATTGGTTATGATATATGTTATATGATATGGACATAAGAGATCATAGGAACATGAGATAAGAGATATGAATGATAATGACATATATGTATGCATATATTTGTTACATGTAAAAGTATGAGTGGTATGAAATGATAGTAGTAATTGTTTAGGTATGATTATTAGTTACCGTTTACCTTATATGTTTATATGCCTCACTAAGTCTTTGACTTAGCGTGTAAGTGATTTACACGTAGGTTTCGAGAAGAGTAAAGAGCAATGTGGAGCAAGACAGGTCAGTTCTCCTTACTAAAGGTCAGATCAGAAAAGATGTGAATAATATGTATTTTAGTATATAAAGTTCTAGTTGGCATGTTTTCAAAAGAATATATTGTTTAAGCTATGAACAGTTTTATAAATATTTCGAATAGTTATATGTAAATAAATAAGTGAAATATACACGCTCTGATTGGTTTTGTAATAAGGAAAATGTCTGTTATATAAATTAGTCATTTATATGTTATAAAAGTTTTAAATTACTCACTATTTTATACAAATACATGTTTTAAAAGGTCAATGTGACACCTCGGACTTGTATTCGAGTCGGATATGAGTTAGGGGTGTTACAATATATGTGTGTGTGTGAGAGAGAGATATGATCTAGTTATACAATATAAAACTCTTTTAGTGTTATACAGATTTAGGACGTTGGATGAGTGAAAATATATGGCGAAGATTAATAGTAGAAAATGAGAATATATTTACTAGACAAAAAAGGGAGCCAATTCAGCCATTTATTTTCACTCATCCAGCGGTCCTACATCTGCGTAAAACTAAAGAGTTTTACATTGTGCAAATGGATCATAACCCTATATATATATAATCTAGAAAAAATATATTAATTGGACCAAGATAATTTTCTTGACATAATTCATACATATTTCTATTTAGGTAAACTAATTATTTGGTCACCTATCTATTACTTAATTTATGTTTTTGTCAGACAACTATTAGTTTTTCAAAATCATACATAACCTTACGTCTTAGTTCTGTTTTGATCAACTGTCGTTAAAAAATTAACAATGATGTTAACATGACATTTTTTTATTTTTTTTTCAATCCTGACATGACGTTATCTTATGATGATACGTCAACATAACTACTAAGTTTCTAAAGACAAGTAACCAAACAGAACCAAAATATAACATTAAATGTGATTTAAAATAAATAATAATTGATTACTAAAATAGAAACTAATTAATAATTGGGTGATAAAATAAGTCATTTACCCCTTTTTGGGGCATGGGTGGGCTATGGCCTAGGTAAGCCTAAGCCTAAAGGTCTCGTTCGAATACCAAAGACTGCAAAGGTGTTTAAACTTTCATTGTTAAATGTGTCCTTATGTTATTAAACATTTTTTATCTATTCCTTTGGTATGTTTTCGATCTTCTTTATTGGTCTTTTGTTTGTTATGTTTGTTTAATTTTCTCAGGGTTAGATTTGATGTCGTCTCGACTGATTAATATGACACTTATTTATTATATTACCGCTCTCCCCTACTTTGGATTGGACCCTCATATTAGATTTTAGATATACAATTTACGTTCGAAGATAGTTTTCTCACAACACTCAATTCTGTTTTGGGATTGTCAATAGGTTTTTAATAGTTTAATCACATGTTGTAATTCGTTTGTCGATGTAATCAGATATATTCGTACTATATTTTATTCTAACTTTTTTGATGAATTTTTAACATTTTCCTTGTATAATGCTTGTATGATTTTAAGTGACTAATTTTTTGTGTCCATAATTTTAGAAAATATCTTAATTATATGTTTAGAATTTGGGTAAATTACCCTATCAAGCTCTTTTCTTTTCTTTTCTTTCTTTCAATTCTTTCCCCAATTCTTAAATTATCCTCCAATTTCTCAATTAAAACTATATAACAAGCTACAAGAAAATAGCACAAAAAGTTTGAACAATTTATATTTCTTTTAATGATTCTCCAGAAGTGTATTA